ACAAGAAAGTAGGAAAATTCCCATATTTGCTAGTCTAAAATATTTTTTATCCTAGATTTAATTTTTGTAATTTATTTTTTAATGTCATTGTAATTTAGGAAATTTAAAGTTAATTTTCAAGTTTAAATCTTTTAAACAAACAAACTAAACTGAAAATAGACCCAAATCGAAACAAACCAAGTTGGTGGGTTTTCACTAATGGTCAATCAGTTTCAAGTGAAAAACTACAGACTTGACTAGATTGATTTGGTTGGCGAAATAGCCTGCAACTAAACTAAACCAATCATTGAATGCTCCTAATTTCAACTAAATTTATAGTTTAATCTCTAATAAATAACAATAGTTTAATCTCCAAAAACTATTGAAAATTTATATCAAACGCACACGATCATTGAAAAAAAGTTTATAATGAAAATATAATAGATATATAATAAAAATACAACAATTACAAAAATACAATAAATACTGAAAATATACTAAATTAGTAAATAAATAGTGTAATATTAAATAATAGTTTAATCTCTAATAAGTATTAATCTATAAATTATAAAAAATATATAATTACTAAAAATAAATTTATAACAAAAATACAATAAATACGATAAATTAAATTTCAAAAGTTAAATAATAGTTGTTTAATCTCGAATAATTATTGATAGTTTTCTATGAAATAACAAAGATAAAAATACATTTATAAATAATTATTGAAAGCATATTTATAAAAAAACAATAAATAATTACTGAAAATAAAATAAATATTAATTATTGTATATATAAATACATAATGAATATACACTATGCTCTCTGTGATCTCGTTTCATATTGAATCAATCATCTCTTCTTTCTCTCTCTCTCCCTCTCTAGCTCTCTCTCTCTCTCCTCTCTGTGCTCTCGTTTAATGACTGTTGGGTGTATTTAGATGTTTGCTCTACTGCGCAACTTTGAAATAAATTCGTCAATCACCATGCTCATGGCATAGATTGAACGATGACTTGGATGTGCAGTTCATCCATCCATGTGGTTTTTTTTTTTTTTTGAAGGCAATAAAATAAGTTATTAAGTATTTTTTTATGGTAAATAAATAAAACTCCCTCTCTCTCTTGCTCTCTCTCTTGCTCTCTCTCTCTCTCCAATATCTCTGAAATTAACAATAAATGACGGAAGCAGAGGATTTCTTTGAGAATTAATTTTTGCATGGTGATTAATGGCAGAATGAATGGGTATATTGAGTTGTTCATGAATGATATAAATTTCAGAAATTGAGCATTAATTTGCCAAAAATCAAAAGATCATCAGCAAACCGATCACATAGATATGTAAGGATCCTTAAAGTCAACAAAGAACGACCAGCTATTGCACTTATATGATTCGCCAAAACAACTCCTCATCCTACTGTCACTTTTTAAACAACTGAAATGAGATGAGAAACCATACAAGAATTTAATTTGATTAATTATAATATGGTCGTCACCTGAGGTGAAGTCGTTCAAGCTAAATCCAAGCACAACTCTTCCAGGTTCAGGCATGAGTGGGCATAGTCGGGCTAGGGCAAGTTGGTGACAAAACATATTGATCAGAGAAAAGACCTTACATGTATGGAATAGTAACAGTAGTACCAACAAACACATCTTTTAACTAGAAACTAAAGGGTTGTAACTAGATCAATTATTTGAGAAACTAACTGGACTGTCTGAACTATTTCTCCACAGTGGCCAATGTGGACAATTCATCAAATAGCAGAATTTCGAATTGGTGGAAAATGCAACTTAGGTGGGCCAACTCAACTCTACTAGCTTTTGCTCAGGTTGGACTGGGTTTTTTTTTTCGGCTATGAACTGGGCTGCTTAGGCTTAAAACTTAAGCTTAATTCTATAYTAGGTTGGTCTTAGGTTGAGTAGTGAGCTCACAGGTGCCCAGCCAGACACCTATTTATAATGTAAGCAAGTAAAAGGAACATTTACAGTTTACATCTCTACTTGGTCCACATTCTTTATCATAATCCATTTATTAAAATTTTTGGAACCCCTGCCCCTTGTCCACTCTCCTTGCAGACACAACTCAATCTGAGTTGTTTTGGGATTTAGATCAGTCTGTGTTTGGACTTACCTTATATTGGACTGGGTTTTAGGATAGGGTGCTCAAGATTCAAGAACTATATACATAGACCATTTGTTCAATGTTCTTGTTTTATACTTTCCCTTAATTCCAACTTAATCAAAATTCTCTATGAATATGATGATAACAGTAGTCCAAACTTTCAATTCTTTAATCTGAAAAATGCCMTTTTCTAAACTGAAACCTAGATATATGATGAATAGAGAGTGAAGAAATGAACACAATCTCTCTCGTTTTTTTCTTCAGTCTCAAAACAAGTTGTATGACGATTCTTCATTGTACTCATATTTGCCTTTGTTATTAACCTACAAAGCTACACAGTGTGTTCAAAACACCGATTACAAAAGGAACTAAGGAAGCCTCTGGATTGGCAATCTGATCAYTCCTTAGGTCCATGAGCATCGTATTCAGCCACCATGTATTGGACCTTAAATCAGCCCAATAATTCCAACAAATATCTTGGCCAGATCGATCTAATAACCCTAAATCATATCACTTGGGTTGGACCAGAATGCTATATTATGATGCTACATGAGTAATATAGATTTCCAACTACCCATCTTGAACACACAAAAATACTCTAGACTACAATCACAGATCCTGGCATCGATCACCATTTGGTTGATCTCTTCAAATTAAGACATTCTCAGATGTCTAGTTAATGGAAGTGAATATAAATATATGACTACCTATGATCAATGTTTTAAAAACCTATCTAGAGGCGGACTCACCTTTGCCTTCAGGTCATGGGTCATGTATAATTGTTTTTGAGGTCTAGAAAAGGGTTTTTTGGCAAAATTAGAGGGGCAATGCACCTTTGGCCCATTGATTTTGAGATGCATAGATCTCAAAAAGTTACCTAAAATAAAAAAAAAAGATCACCCCAATTGAACATCAGAATGCATTTAAATTTTGGCCTCCGAAAGTATATACATACATTGAGTGTGTAACCCACAACCCGATGACCAGGTCGAATGGATCAACAATTGAACCGCCCATATCAGATGTTTTTTGACGAAGTCAACATTTTTACCAATTAGTGGGTTTCAACATAACCGGACCGAAAATCAAAGCTTGGTGATGGTTTGAACGATTCAACAAGTTAGGTCAATGGCAAATTGAAAACACTCCTATGATAACCTTTAGGGGCAATAACTCTTCTCAAACACAGCAAGCGTTTTATGGAACTCTGTATAAGCTCAACTCAGTTATAATCCACAGCAAGAGTCAATCGGGTTAGAGCTCTAATGTAGGTGTCAATGGACCAATTTTTGGGTTGGAACCGTCGAAATCAAAATAAATTTGGACTGATAAATGGACAAATAAGATATATTGAATTGATTTAGCTCAGACGTAATGGTCCACATTATTTATTGGATTGGATTGGATCAGACCCACCCCTAATGGAWTTATATTGGATTAGGTTGAATTGAACCAATATCGTTCAATTGATAGAACTTGCCTGCCGCAAAGCCCGAAGTGATGCAAATCGCAAAAAACACTGGCCGCCGCTACAAACTCGCCATCGCCCGTCGACATTAGTTGCAGTCGGTCGGTTTGCGTCGCCGTCGAACGCTGAAGATGCTGGCCGCCGCAGGTGGTCGGTTGGGTGTGAGGGATGGCCGCTGCTGCAAACTTGCCTGCCGCAAAGCCTGGAAGTGCTGCATATCGCAAAAAAACGATGGCCGCCGCTGCAAACTAGCCGTTGCTGGTCGCCGTTAATCACCGTCGGTCAGTGTGTATCACCGTCGAATGCCAGAGTTGCTGGTAGCAGCGGGTGGTCGGTTGGGTGTGAGGGCTGAGAGGAGAGAAGAACGAAGGGTTAGAACGAAAATGGGGTTCTAACCCTACATTCGATTAATTTATTTGGGATGGGGATATTAAAGTAATTTTATTTTTTGCTTTTTTATTTTATTTAAAACATTGAAAATAAAAAAGAGAACCCACAAACTGCTGCCCGTTGAACGGTTTAGCGGTCTGACCGCCCGGGTTAGCGGTTTTTTAACTTTTTCAATGTTTTTTAAAGATTTCTGGTTTTTAATGTAACCGGACCCGGGGGCCTGACCGGTTACCGGTTTTTTCAGTCCGATTGTTCGGTCCAGTCCGGTTTTGAAAACCATGATATTTTCTTACCAAAAATTCTATTAAATTGAAATGCGTATTTGGTTTGGTAGACATTAGTGCCGAACCAAACAGACTGTTGGAAATGAAATTTCGATCGTTTCTGTCTAAACCAAATAGAACTATGGGAATAGACTATTCCCATTCAAGCTATAAAACAAATGGACCCTAATTGTGCTCTCTTACATTGGTCGGTCCTGTAACGGTGTAGCATGTCATCTTCTTGCATAGAAAGGTTTTAATGAGCGTGGCAAGTTTCTTTTTGGGTGCCCTGTTTGGCTTGAAGATTAATTTGCTCCAGTCTGACTTGAAGCTCTAATTCGATTCCTATTTTTCGAGTGTTTTCTGTTGTGGTTTGTTGTGTCCTTTGAGTTGCTTTTTTTTCTTGTTTTTGGCCTTTTAATTGGAAAGTTGCAACGTAAAATGTATTGGATGGTTGAAAATGTCCCAAGATTACCACTTAAATCCTGGTTGATCGGATTTAAAAATTCAACATTTTCTTCTTTTTCTTCTTTGAGAAACGAAAATTCAAAGGACAAAAGCAGTTATGGAAATCAGGGACGTCCCAAGAATAAGGAACTAAAGATCCTCTTACGTCGCCAATATAGCTATTTTGTACCGCACCGGACAGTGATTTTGTTTGGAGGAACAAAGGCTTTTTAATTTCTTTCTCCCTATAAATACATCTGTACGTACCTCCTTAATTGCCCCATAAACACCGTCTATCACTCCACCCTTCTAAAATCCAACTCCAGAAAGAAAGAATGTCGAGTACTGCTGGTCAGGTGATTCGTTGCAAAGGTACTTCAATAGCTCTTTCATCCCTACCTGTTTTGATTCTGACCTTCACCTCTCTTCTGGATTCGCTGTTTATCAATCTTGGGATCCGCTGTTTAGTTTTATTTATTGCTTGTTTGGTTTATAATTTCTACTCGTTTTAACCCATCTTCTTGTCTAGTTTTCTGTTAGTAATATAAATAGTTATTCTAGTTTATTTGTTTCTTGGGTCATTTGGGAGTTGGTTTCTCAGTTGATTTCGATTTTTCTGGGGTTTGTTCTTCAAAACAAAACAAAAAATTAAGACCACAACCAGAATCAGAACCCTTCAATCAGAACTGAAAAGTCTATTACCATAGTCTGTTTGGTCCAAATAGCAATCGGAATAGTAATCTGGACAAGAGAGAGGGAGGATGTCATTCCACCAAGAATGGGAATGGGATTTTAATTATAGTTGAAATTGGAATAGTTCCATTCCGATTCCAAACCCCTACTCCTACAAACCAAACAGACTCCTAGCTCCAATGGCAGGAATCGGGTGTTTTACTTGTAGATTCACTTGTTTTTTCTTTTTGTCAATGCAGCTGCTATAGCATGGGAAGCTGGGAGGCCATTATCAATCGAAGAGGTGGAGGTGGCGCCTCCACAGGCAAATGAGGTTCGTGTGAAGATCCTCTTCACCTCCCTCTGCCACACCGACGTCTACTTCTGGGAAGCCAAGGTAAATACACTACTTTCATATACTATTCAATTGCTTATTGCATTTTCAAATCAACAATTTGATCAGAATAAACAATGTAGCTGGGTACAAGCTAAAACAAAGGTATCTGTTTGAATTGGATTTATGGTGGTGATGTTTCTAAAGTTTCTGATCAAACTAAAATGGTTTTTTCAAAATTTCAGGGACAAAATCCCTTGTTTCCTCGAATCTATGGCCATGAGGCAGCAGGGTATGCAAATCCCAATCTCATGAAATAATTGTTTGCTAACGCTAATCCTTGATGATTGATCAGTGAATGTAACGAATTGTTTGATGGATATCTAGGATTGTTGAGAGTGTTGGAGAGGGCGTAGCAGATCTTGCCCCAGGAGATAAAGTCCTTCCAGTGTTCACTGGAGAATGCAAGGAATGTGCCCACTGCAAGTCAGCGGAGAGCAACATGTGCAGCCTCCTCAGGATCAACACCGATAGAGGTGTGATGCTTAGCGATGGCCAATCCAGGTTTACTGCAAAAGGCCAGCCTATTTACCATTTTTTGGGCACCTCCACCTTCAGTGAATACAGTGTCATGCATGTTGGCTCTGTCGCCAAGATCAACCCTTCAGCCCCTTTAGACAAAGTTTGTGTCCTCAGTTGTGGCATCTCCACAGGTGCATAAATATTAACCCAATCCCAACTTAATTATATTCAAATTGCAGTTTAATTATGTTCTCCATTGATCAATAAACTTTGATTTTTCTCTTCAAGGTCTTGGTGCTACCTTGAATGTTGCAAAACCTCCCAAGGGCTCATCAGTGGCCGTCTTTGGTCTGGGAGCCGTAGGACTTGCTGTGAGTTTCTATTTCTTGTCATATACATCAATGTTGTTCTTGTCAGTTCATTCCAATTCACCTACTGACAGATTTATTTGTGCTGGCACCATGGGAATAGGCTGCAGAAGGGGCCAGAATTTCTGGGGCTTCTAGAATTATTGGTGTCGATGTGAACACCAAGAGGTTTGAGGAAGGTAAATGATTCAGCCCTACCAGCACTTAATCATCTTTATATCATAAAATTGAAGGTGAAAAAGCAAATGAGTTTTCTTTTATTTCTTCTGAACAGCTAAGAAGTTTGGCTGTACTGAGTTTGTTAATCCAAAAGACCACAATAAACCAGTTCAAGAGGTTTGATACTGGAACCCTTGTTATCAAATTCTGGCATTTCAATGATGCTAAACCTTCTTGTATTATCTCATAGATTGAACCAATTTTCTTGCACCCATCTTGTGTAGGTGATTGCTGAAATGACTGATGGAGGAGTTGACAGGAGTGTTGAATGTACTGGAAACATTGATGCCATGATCTCTGCTTTTGAATGTGTTCATGATGTAAGTTGTCATCATTTAAATGCTTTCCCTGAATTGTTCCTCCTCTCCGAATTAAAGTGTCTCAACACACCGTTCCACTGAATCTCAATGAAAAATATAAAATATTCTTTCAGGGTTGGGGTGTTGCTGTTCTTGTGGGTGTACCTACCAAAGATGCTGTTTTCAAGACGCACCCTGTGAATCTATTGAATGAGAGAACTCTCAAGGGCACCTTCTTTGGAAACTACAAACCACGCAGTGGTCTTCCTTCCGTTGTAGAAAAATACATGAATAAGGTAAATTTGCAGATTTCATTAACAATTACCTTCCTGATGATCCCATGCTAGAAAAATGAAAAATCTTGTATTGATGATTCATACATGTAGATGTTATTCAGAGTAAGAAGTTGATAAACTTCAAATCTTGTGATCATTGAGCAGGAACTTGAGGTGGAAAAGTTTATTACCCATGAAGTGGCATTCTCAGATATCAACAAAGCTTTTGATTATATGCTAAAGGGTGAAGGCCTCCGGTGCATCATCCGCATGGAAGGTTAAAATAATGGAGTTGAGTTATTCATCACAATCTACATATACTGGTTTCAAGTCCAAAAGAAGATGACAATAACATAACTTTGTTTTGTTTTTATTGTCCTATGTTGAATTCAAGTCCACAAAATCTAGGCACATTTTGTGCATAGAGAGTGATGGCATGGCTTGTATTCTTTTTCTCCCTTGAGCATTATATTAAGAGTAAAATATTAATGTTACTTTTGGTTGTCTGAAATTAAATTTTGGTCCCATTTATGCCTTGCTATGAAAATGATGAAAATGGTAAAATAAAAAAATTCTTGTTTCCTTCAATCAAGCGCAGTCCTATATCTATATTCTTCAGGTTTGGGGTGGCCAAATACCAAACAATGAAACGACAACTATATTGATCAAACCCAACTTTTTATCTAATCTGAGATGCAGCCAGCAGCCAGCATTACCTGGACCACTATGGGGATGCAGTTGTGTTGGTAGCAAAAGGGGGTGTTTCTACTAGTGTGGGATCTTCTTCTAGGAAAGGAGATCTCCAGAAAAAAACAGAATATAAGGATAAATTGTGGTGCATTCCTTGTCAGAAATCCCGACACACCAAAGATACCTGTTGGGATCTTCATGGAAAACCAAAATGGGCTCAAGATCTAACTAAGAAGCAAGGTTCAGAGGTGAATAAGAGGCCCAGACAGAAAGGTACAAATAAACATCACATGGCCAACATGGTTACTCGGGAGAATCAGCCCTCCACTTCTACTGTGACTCAGACACATCTCACTGGATCTGACCCGAGGGAGGATTTTATAAATTCCTTCCGTGATCATTTAGAGCTCTATGGTAGAGCATTTCGTCAGATGGATGCTCCTCCCTCAACCTCATTTGCATCTACGTCAGGTAACCCTACCACAGCTTTCCATGTTACTTCTCACACCTTTGACTCTCCATGGATCATTGATTTTGGAGCGTCAAAACACATGACTGGTACGTCATTTTACTTTCAAACCTATCACCTTCTTTCTAGAAGAGACACGGTGAGACTAGCTGATGGATCATATACTTCCATAGCTGGTCAAGGAAACCTATCTCTTCCTCTTGGTCTTACCCTTTCTGATGTCCTTCATGTTCCAAAWTTTCCCATTAATTTGTTCTCTGTTAGTAGTGTTACTAATTCCTTGAATTGCTCAGTGACATTTTTCCCTTCTCATTGTGTGATTCAGGATCTGGCCTCGGGGATGACGATTTGTAGGGGACGTATGGTTGATGGACTTTACATGATGGAGAATAAAATTGGTCTTCATGTTACAGAGTCTATGAGTCAACCCTGCAAGAAGAGAGTCTATTTATGGCATTGTCGTCTAAGTCATTTGTCTTTTCAATCTTTGAAAGTTATATTCCCATAACTGTTTAAGTCAATGTTTGTTTCTGATTTTTCTTGTCAAACGTGTCAGTTAAGTAAACATTGTAGAACTCAGTTTCTTCAAAGAAATAGTAAATCTGAATCTCAGTTCAATGGTAAAGTGAGAGCATGGCCTTTGTCACTATGTGTCACTATAAGGGTTGTTTGATTGACTATAAGGTTGTCCCTACATGTCAAGCCAGTCATGGTTCCCGCATGAAGTTGATGGCCAATAGACTAAGTAGCTCTGCTGACTTTATTTCAGCTCGGATCCAATAGACTAAGTAGCTCTGCTGACTTTATTTCAACTCGGATAAGCCTCATCAATCATCTTCGTGACGTCTCCCTTACAAATCGAACCCTTCGCGGCTCCCGCGAGAGTTAGTGGCCTACGAACTATGCGAACGCCCTTGCGGGTCGAGCTCCTCAAGGCTCCTGAGCGAGTCGTCGACCTACAGTTAGTAGGGCTGCTCCTAGAGGTCGAGGTCCCTGTGGCTTCTCGTAGGAGTGGATGATCGGCATCATTACGAGGATGATGCAACGCAGCCATGGCCCCGAACTTCCGACTCACACCGGCAACAACATTATGCCATCGCAAGGGGGGGCAGAACATGTATGTTGTGGTCTTACAAACAGTCATCCAAGAAGATAATCCCACGGGATGATGTAGAAGCATCCATATGAGAAGTAACTAGAGAATGACCACCTGCTTAGGCAAATAGGTCAAGCCACACGTCGACTAAATAAGGATAAGGAGAGTGGACCGCGAGTCGCTCCCAAAACTTAAGAGATAAAGTGTCGAGCTGGGAGTGGTTCCGACTACATAGTGGCAAAGGCAATGGCTCAACTTAATCATTGTACGGTTCTAGTAGTGGCTCAGTGGAGGTGGAGGTGAGTGGAGGTGGAGGTGGAGGTGGATCAGGCTAGGGCCGTTCATAAGAAGGCCCAACCCGGCCAAACCGACCAACCCAGACCAACCCAACCCGAGTCGGCTGGCTTTTCATCAGCACCGGTCGGTTTCGGGTTGTACAAATTCATAAACCGATGGTTCGTGTCGGTTTTGGTTTTCTTACTTAGTTCCTACTTAACTAAAAACTGAAATATCTGAAAATATATATTCCAATATCTATATCTAAAATATATATATATATTATGAAATATGTCAGATATATATTTCCAGAAAAATATATATTCCAATATATTTGTATGTATATTTTTGTTTATATATATATTTCTAAAATACATATTTCAATTTTAAATATATTTCCAGAAAACTAGGTGGCCATGGGGGGCATGAATGAACTTAAAGCCGAAACTGACCCAAACCGACCCAACCCGACTCAAACTGACCAGGTCGATTTTGCTTAACACTGGGTTGGTTTCGGTTTCCATCTCAGGTAACCCGACCAGGTTGGGTCGGTTGGAAAAAACTCAATAAACCAACCCAACCCGACCTGTAAACAGCCCTAAATCAGGCAATGGACATGGGAGTGGTTCCGGATACGATTCTGGTAGTGGCTCAGGATATGGAGCAGGAGGTGCCAATGGTGGAGGAGGTGGAGGTGGAGGTGGTGGTGGTGGAGGCGGTGGTGGTGGTTCAGGCAGTAGCTCTGGCTATGGTTCAGGTTCTGGATCCGGATATGGTGGTTGAGTTGGCCATAGCCCGTAGACATTCACGACCCAAGGTTCAGGCAGTGGCTTCTTCGTTGAGGCCGAAGAGACTGAGCCCGTAAGGTAGAACAAACCAAGAAGCCTAAAATAATTGATTTGTATCTAATTTGACCTATATTGTAGCCCTATTTGACACACAAGGCTCCTTTCAGCTCTAAACTAATGTAGAAGTGACCAGTTATTAACGGGTAAAAGACTAAACTCCCCTGAGTTTTCTTATAAATATACTGAAATATTCTCTCTTTTTTTAAATTGGACTAAGACCTCCCGTGTGAGAGTTATATCTAACAGAATCATTAAAATCTCTTTTTTATACTTACTACTTTATATTTTCAAAGCAGAAGAATCTCTTTTGCAAAATTTGCACTGTACATATTCATATAGGCTGAACAAGCGAAGAATCTCTTTTTATACTTACTACTCTATTCATATAGGCTCAGTTTGGAAAGAGTATAAATACAAGTTTGTAGAGTGCAAAACCTTGTATTTTGTATTATCTTGTATGTATTTGCACTGTACATATTTGTATTTGTACTCCTTTCAAATTGAGCCATAAAATAAAAATAAAAATAAAAAAGATTTCTGAGGGCGTTGCTTAGTATTGATCCAGAAGAAGTCATTTGCAATTGAAAATAGAGTTAAAAAACAGATATTTAGGCTTAATTTGAAAAGAGTATAAATACAAATATATACAGTATAAATACATAGAAAACAATACAAAATACAAAGTTTTGCACCCTACATATTTATATTTATATTCCTTCCAAACTGAGCCTTAAATTAGAAAGTTAGAAGGGACTTGATTTATTTACATAGGAATTAATATAGGGAGATCATTTTCTGGTGTTTAATCCTTACTCGAATATTATAAATAATTATTCAAATCAAAACAAAAATCCTAAATTGATTCAAACACGTCATTTCATTGAACTTAATTAACCACATTGTAGTCCCTTTATGGCACCTGATATCATTGAGACCTCCACACGTCAATTCCTGTTTATTCTTCTCACCTAACACAACCAACTTTCCATTGGATACCCCTTTGCAAGCTTTTAACTTAAAATCATTTGTCAAATGGAACCCCAATCCTAACTTTAAGGCCCTAACCTTAATTGGCTTCTCCACCACTAACCCAACTAAGAAAACAAACCCAAGTGGCCAGAACTTTGAATTCAATGTTGCAAAGAACAGCTTTGAGCATGGTGGCCTCAATTGGCTTCTCCAATTTATAGCAGAAATCTTAGAAATGAAATTTGTGCTTGTTGTGGAGTTAAACAGCACCATAGAAAATGACAGGAGTATGATTTGAATTGTTAAAAGGGTTCATAAAGTTCAGTTTGCAAAGCGTACAAATAAAAATATGTACACTGCAAATACATACAAAATAATACAATTACAAGGTTTTGCATTCTACATATTTGCATTTATATTCCTTCCAAACAGAGCCTAAAGAGCAAAATTGGATTTTTCCAAAAAAATAAACCCACATATGCTGCCACATTTTAACAGATTTTGATGAATTACTAATGATGGGAGGTTATTGTCCCATGATATGACTTAATATGGGAGGTCTTAGTCCAATTTGAAAAAAGAGGGGATGCTTCAGTATTTATGAAAACTTTAGGGGAGGTTCAAGTATTTTACCCATTATTGACTCATTAATATATATATATATATATATATATATATATATATATATATAGTGCTTGTTTGGTGTTGATCTTATTTCTTTCGGCCCAAAAATTCTTTCACTTATATTCATATGTCTATCCACCTAACAATCGATTGGGTGGGTCAGGTTCATGTAGACACTTTCAGTAGATTTCAGTGGATTTCAATTGAAATCATCAAATCATATTGACCTTTCATCTCTCTCTCTCTCCCTTAGTTGGATTTGGGTGAACCAACGTAGTGTTTTTCGGAGAAACCTAGATCTGAGATAACC